CCATGTTGAAGCCCCCCGAGTCACTCTGCGCAAAAGATGAGGGGGTCACTCTGCGCAAAAGAATAGGGCAGGCGGGCGACCTCCCTACCCCCCCGCGTGTCCGCAGGTTGGTCCGGGCACGCTGCCATTGCGCCACCGCCCCTTGCTCCCTCTGTGGCAACTTCGGGGCCTGAACCCGGCCCAAATTTGGAACAAGTCTTCGGAGCCAACACGGAGAGTTTTTCCAGCTTGAAAACAATTTAGAGCCTGAACCCGGGGCCCAAATGGAACAGCTTTTCGGGGCCCGAATCCGGGAGGAACAGCTTTTCGGGGCCCGAATCGGGGCCCGAATCAAACAACTTTTCGGGGCCCGAATCCGGGACCCGAAAGGAACAGCTTTTCGGGGCCCGAATCGGGGCCCGAATCGAACACCTTTTCGTGGCCCGGGCTCTTGGCTGTGGATGTTTCTGGGGGCTCTTTGGAGGCCACCGTTCTGCACATTTGTGTCCACCAGCCATCTTTTCGGGGCTCGAATGGTATACGACTTTTCGGGCCCGAATCCGGGACCCGAATGGAACAGCTTTTCGGGGCCCGAATCGCGGCCCGAATCGAACAACTTTTCGGGGCCCGGGGCTCTTGGCTGTGGATGTTTCTCCAGGGACTCTTTGGATGCCACTGTTTCAATTTGCACATTTGTGTCCACCAGCCATCTTTTCGGAGCCCGAATGGTATACGACTTTTCGGGGCCCGAATCCGGGACCCGAATCCGGAACTCGAATGGAACAGCTTTTCGGGGCCCGAATCCAGGACCCGAATCGAACGACTTTTCGGCCCGGAACTCTTGGCTTTGGATAATGTTTTTCCAGGGGCTCTTTGGAGGCCACCGTTTCAATCTGCACATTTGTGTCCACCAGCCATCTTTTCGGGGCTCGAATGGTATACGACTTTTCGGGGCCCGAATCCGGGACCTGAATGGAACAGCTTTTCGGGGCCCGAATCGGGGCCCGAATCGGGGCCCGAATCGAACAACTTTTCGGGGCCGGGGCTCTTGGCTGTGGATGTTCCTCCAGGGGCTCTTTGGAGGCCACCGTTTCAATCTGCACATTTGTGTTCACCAGCCATCTTTTCGGGGCCCAAATGGAATGACTTTTTGGGGCCCGAGCCCAGTGCCCGAATGGTAGTTTTTTTCTTGTGGTGCTTGAATACTTTGTGCAAGTTGGACTTTTTTGTTTTTGGGGGATCTAAAGCTTGACTTGCCGGTAGTTAAACCTTTCGACCATTGACAAACTCTTATGGGCCAGCATTGAAAAGATCTGGGCAGGGGGTGGACTCTCGCTACTTTCTTTGTCAAGCTCCAGCCGCCTGACTTCACGTCGCCGTTGCCAAAGGGGGCGTGCCATGGTTGTGATAATAAAGAGCGAGCTGGGGGAGATGAAGAACACCAAGAAGCTGCAGGCCGACCCTGTGAATGTCAAAACTGCAACTAAGAGACGGCAGCTTGGAATAACAGTTCAGTCAATAATTGTAGTATGTGTTTTATTATCTCTTCAACTGTGTTCTTGAGCCTGCCCAAAACATCTTTGCAAACTGCACTGGGCCAGGTACGAGAACAGCCGGCGCTGCAACATCCGTGTGCGACTCACCAAGGAAGAACTACTGAATCTCCAAAACCATGATGAGTTGCTTGCTGAAGTAGATCGGCTGCGGCTGGACAATGACTCCATGAAGAAAGTATTGGATTTCTGGACCAAAAGCACTACCATGGGTGCACGGGACTGGTGTGACCGTCTCCGCCAGGCTGAGCAGAAATTCCGTGAAGCAGCTGAAAAGAACGCGCGGCGTGAAGAGGCCCTGCGTGATTTAAACAGCAAGTTGGACCAGCTTGCCCTTATGACAAACTGCGCTCGCGCAGTTTGTTTTGAGGCGAAAGCAGCCAGCGCCAGTGCCTGAGGCAAACCTGGCAGCTGCCATATGACGGGGTCTTCCTGGAGTCACAAAAAGCCCAAATTTATCTAGCGTGGGCTGTTTGACTTTTTAACATAACTACAATTGCATTTGAACTAGCCCCCCTTATATTTATGTTATCCCCCAAGTGGGGTTCTTTAAAGGTATATAAATGCAATAATATCCAAACGTTAACACGTTTGGATAAGATTGCGGGACTGCGACTGCTTTAAACGATCTCAACGCCAGAGCCATTGGCCCCAGCGTGCTATCCGCGTGGCGCGAGCCTAGCGCAGGCGCTTGGATCTCACGTCAACCTGTAATCTGTTTTTCTTCGGCAGGCCGGTGATCCGCTGTCCTCCCGGGGTTCGAGGCATCGGCCTGTGAAGTTGCGCGCGTGCAGCAATATTCATAGCACATGTGCCAGGAAAGTTGATCGGCCTGGCTTTCGTCAGGCGCTTGGAATCATGGGCAGGCCTTTGCGTGCGTCCATTTTCGATCACATGCATTAAACATGTACGCGGCCGCTAGTGGCCCCAGCCAGCATGGGCAACAAGCGGAAGCTTGAGGACCCCGGCCCAAAAGAATGTTTTCCTTTAATTGACGCTAAGCCCAGCCTGCAGGACCCGGGACCCAGCGCTTCTGCTGAGCCCGAGTCCAAGGGCGCTGCCAAGCAGGACTATCGCGCGTCGCGTCTTGCAAGTGGTGCGTTTACTTTTAGACTGCAGGACTCAGCGGCAGAGCTGGACCGTTGCCACGTGAAACTGCTAGCGATGGTGTCGGCCCAGCACGCGGTAACGCCGGAGCCTGGCATCCAAGCAAAGGCGCGACCACGTGCCTCAGGATCACCTGCAGATCTGCGCGCTCAAGCGCCACCGCAGCCGAAGCTTGACCGCGCTGCTAAGATGAGCGCCGCTAGGCGCAGCAATATCGTCTTTGGCCTCTTGCATTTTTGCTTTCCCTTGTCCAGGCCGAAGTGGAGTCCCGGACGCCGACTGCTGCTGCAACTGCAGGAGCAAGGCCCCAGGATGATGGCAGGGGGCCCTCCTCAGGAGCCACTGCCTCCTGGGCCAGTCCACCGAGCTCGGCCTGTGGATTCGCAGCCGGCCCCGAAGCTGGCTCCGCCAGCCCCAAAGCTGGCGCCAAAGCCGGCGGCAAAGCCGACGCCAAAGCCGGCAGCGCCAAGGTGCTGCTAATTTAAACTGCCACCCTCACACGCAGTCTCGATCTTGCAGGCCTCGCATCCCCGTGCCGATCCAGCACCGCAACCTCCTGGAACAAGTGTTCTTTGATTCTCGCAGGCGTGGCCAGCTTTCAGTCTTGAATTTGTATATAATTCTTGCTCTGAGGCGCGTTTTTGTGGACCGAGAAGGTCGTGTGATCGGGCGCCCGTAGATCTTCGATATTCGGCTGCTCCAACCCTGTGCGCGTGGAGGAACGTTGCAGTGCATGATTCGACGCACGCATATTTGATTGCGTGTTTCATTGGCACCTTCGCCCCGCGCCAAGGTTGACTGCACTGGCCTCAGATCAGCGATCTTCCGAGGTGCATATGCTGAGCATTCGATATTTCAGATATCGAATCTTAGTGTGTGCGCGTCGGCAAGTTAAATAATTCAAGTTAAGCGCGCGCTTGATCTGTTTGCAGCTTGCAAACACATCGATCGTGTGCGTTCTATTTAAAAATGTTAAGCACGCTCATGAGTCTTTGGTGCTGCAGGTACATGGCTTGCGCCCACCATTTAGCGCCGGCCATAGCAGCGCGTTGGGCGAACTGCCCCGAGCTGTTGCAGGCAGTGCGCAATTGGCACGTCCTTGTTGTTGGCAAGCCTTTTTCAGGTTGGCTTCAGTTTTGTCCAAGACCGCTCAGCCAAGCTCTTCACTGGCATCGCCACTGTGGAGGATGTAGTCCTCAATAAGGAGGCCCAGCCTTCAAAAGACAATGTGTGTACTAAAGCTTGCCAGCTTGTGCCTTGTCAGGTCGTCATCCCCTTACTGCAAGCGAGCGTCAACAACCAGCAGTTCCTCCCAGTGTCGGTTTGCGCGGCCAGCCTCCGTCTGTTCTATGAAATGCCGGGCCGCTGTCCTCAGGGCATTGCAGAAGACACCTTCACAACCTGGATCTCCAGGACTGCGTTTGCTGTGAAGGCGTTGCACGCAAAGGGCTTGAAACTGCTTCGGAACCAAGGCGCCCACAGCCCTGATATCAGGGAAATAAAGCGGCGTGTACGAGCAGACCCCATCACACCTCCAGCAAGTTTGATATCGTCAGCAAGCAAGGTTGCTGGCGCAGATTTCCTGTCTGATGCAGGCGACCTGTTCGATTGGCAGGCTTTGTCTGATGCAGTCGCATCAGCAACCCAGGCAGGCCCTTCTGTAAAGCTTGCAAAGGGTACTGGAAGCTCGGCTGCTGCACGTGAAGTGCCTGATTTTGCCTCGCCCTTGTTTCAGGTACATGGTTCTGTAGATGCGTGTCCTTGCGCCTAGGTCTTGGAAACTTTGGCCTCTTTGATGTCTGCAGACGAGGCAGCGAAAACAGCGCAAGGCTCAGACCCAGTTTTCAGCCCCAGACACTTATACTTAACGAATCTTCTTGTTCCATCCTAGGCCGGTCACCCTGCAGCGCCCGAACCTTCAAGAGACACTGAGGCCTTGCTCCCATTTAACAGTCACTCATTTGCTGTGTCGATTGGGCAGGTTTCGGAGAAGCCCGACGAGTTGGTCGCTGGCCATCTCCCTAGCTTAGACCTCATTTGGTTTGATGACCCGAGCGGATCTGTTCAGCGCGCAGGCAACAAGCTGAAGCGACAGCGCCTCATGTGAAACGAGGGGGCTGCTGCGTGTCCGGCATGCTGCGATTGCTTGGCGCTTGATTTTGTCAGTTCAAAGCTGTTTCTAGACGGTCCTTCAGTGTAGCGGCGGCGCCCTTAATATGCCTCGCACCCTCCAGCGAGCTGACCAACAACTCGTGGACGAGATTGTCGCCGAATGGAAGCGACATCCCCGACTTGTTCAGGCCTGCCCCCTTTTGTTTCATTCGTTGTGTCCCAGCACGAATGGAAGCGTTGGCCCTCCAGGCAGGCGCTGGGTTCATCACCCCTCACAGCTCCCAGTTCTGGCAGAGCAACGCCGTGACTCTCAAGGACGTGGAGGTGAACGGAGAGGCCTGACAAACTTCTCCACTGCGCACATCTGCGCCTGCTTGCGCGCTAAGGTGGCAATCGGTGCTTTGGCGGCTTGTGGAGATCGGCGCTTGGCAGATGGCACGCTTGCAGCTGCAGCTTTGCAGTTCTATAAAGCCAACAACGCAGCGCCGTCTCCCGATGTCGGGAACTCGCACGAGGACCTTGAGCTGTGGGCCAAGAAGCAAGGCGCAGGCGCTCGTCGCTTGGCCAGCCGCTTGAAAAACTGCATGGGCCACACACCTGAAAAGTCCAAGAGCTCGAAGCTTCAAGAAGTCAAAACTGCTATGCTGCAGCGCCTCGAGGAGAAGGGCATGATCGAGCCTTTGAGCGCCAATGCCCCAGACTTGCAGGCCTCAGCTTCAAAGCCAGACGAGGACTTTGACTGGGATGCCCTTGCGGACATGCTGCCCAAGCCCGTCTCCGAAGATCTGATTCCACCCGGCAAGGCTGGAGTGGCAATTTGAGTCAGTTCTGCAGCTTAAGCCTGCCAGGTCTTTGAGGACCTTTGCAAGTACTTCAACCTTGGCGACGCCGACCTGGAAGCCGTGGCTGTGGAATTCGCGAGCTCTCTTGAAGACGGCGACTCTTGTCCAGCGTCAGAAGCTGAGGCCTTGCAGGCGCCAGCCCCCGAGTCAACTTCTTTTGACACCCCGCAGAAGCCCAGTCCAGTCAAGCTGTGCGATGTGCGGCACCAGTTTGTCAAAGAACAGCGCTCCAATGGCATCAGTTGGAAAGACGCCAACCGCCTTTGGATGCACTCGGAAAAGAGGGCTGAACTCTTGAGCAACGTTCCTGAAAGCGAGCTCAAAAGGCGCCGCTTTATGTAAGATCGACATGTGCAATTTTGGCGCCAGATCAATATCGATCAGGCACTGCCGGGTTCTGCAACTGCGCACAGCTGTTGCCTTAAACTGGGGCTGCCCGTGGAATCACGGACATCATCGGGGTCAAAATCGGTCCCAACCGAGCGCATGACACATCAGCTTACTCGGAGAACTGTCGAACCTCCTGCTTGCAGCCAACTGTCATTTGCGTCCTGCCCGCAGCCGCTTTGTGGTGTTAATTTGCCGCCCTTTTTCCTCCATGCTTGTGGCAAACATGCTTCGTTGTCACGCCCCTCCCGCTCTTGCGCTCGTACTTCTACTCCTGCAGTTCCATGAGCGCTTCGGGCCAATCAAGCAGGCTGGGGGCCCAGCGCGCCCAACTTAAGACTTTCAGTTTTTGCTCGCAGTCTCATGACTTCCTGGAGTTATTCAGCGGCCGTGGCCTTGCAAGCGCTGGCATGCGGGAGGCCAGAGTGTGTTTGTTGCACACTGCTGGCGCTACTTCAATACCAGGTTGGCCTGACTGGGTCCTCAATAGACTTGGAGTTAAGCGCCGACTTGGACTTGTGCGCAGCCAGCGGGTTCATGCCTGGCCCTCAGTAGTCGGAGCAGAAAAGTGCCGAATTAGCTGCTCAGATGCGTGCTCCAAAAGCTTCGGGAACTCAAAGCTGGGGCAATTGTCCTGATTGGACTGCCATGCACCAGTTTCTGCGTTCCGCCTGAGCCTAAGCCGTGCGCGCTCAATGATGAATTGCTCTTTGCTCCTGCCTGCCTGCAGGTGTCAAGGAACCCACGAAAGGAGCGAGCTGTGGCCATTGGCCAACCAGTCGTACAACTTTGTATCTTGCGGCAACCTTTTGGCATCACGAACAGCGCTGGTGCTTGCAGTGTGCGTAGCTTTTCATCTCCGTTTTGTCTTGGAACAGCCGTTTGGAAGCCGAGCGCATGTGCATCCGCGTCTTTCTCAAATGTTCGAGGTCCTCACTGTGCACTCGACGACCATCTTTCACGGGGCATATGGCCAATTGACTCCGAAGAAGCAGTACCTGTATAGCAACGATTCCCGATTGCTTTCTAGGCTCCACGTGGCCGCTGGTCGCTTAAGCGAAGACGACGTGCGCCGCTGCAGCGGCAACACTTTGGTGAAGCGTCGCAAATGCGAGGATGGCCGCGTGCAGTGGACCGGGGACCGAATCGCCCTCCGGCAGTCACAGTATTTTGTCCGCAGCTGGTGTAATATATTTGTGTTGGTGTGGCTCTTGGCGCATTAATATTCCAGCTTCTTCAGGTGCTACACCGCCAGATTTGGGTCCCACATTGGGCTTCTCTTGCATGAGGCGCGTGCTGACCCTACTTGGCAGGACTGCATGTCTCGCCTAAATGTTTGCAGCGCTGCAACTCACGACCGCTGTCAGGAGTTGCCTGGTCCACGTCAGGCGCCAGCTCACAGTGTTGGCGAGCAATCAGATGAGGAGTTGCTTAAGGCCTTGTGCCTGTCTTTTTGTTCTTGGTGATTAATGCGTGTCAAGGCCATGCCATTTGACAGCTTCTTTGACTGGCAAGACGCCCCAGTCTCAGCTTCATTAGTGGCAGCCGTGTTTGATGTCTCAGCCCGTACAAGGCGCAGTTGGCTGAGTGTGTCCGGTACTTAGCAAAATCCAAAAGCATCCGGCCACCGCAAAGTTTGAGTGAGCTTCTCCATCGCCTGATGGTGCTGTTTCAGTAATTAGCGAGCAAGTGGGAGCGCGCATACGTCAAACATCATCGTGGTGCGTGGGCTGAAGATTTTTTGAAGAACCCCCCGGGTATTTTGAGGAACCCCCCGAGTATTTTGAAGATCCCCCCCTGGTCATTTTGCAGGCCATGACATCGTCGCTAATATGCGAGGATGTCATGACCTGCAGATCTAGTAGCTCTCCGTGCCTTTCTGCAGCTGCCTCAGCCTCGACTCTGCTTCAGTAGGCCCTATGGAGGCGCTGAAGGAGAAGCTTGGCGGGAAAAAGCCGACAGCCGAACAGTTGTCAGAAGCCACAGGGCTTCCAGTGGCTGAGTGCACCAAGCTGCTGGCCACGGCAACAGCCAAAGCCAAACCGAAGTCGAAGAATAAGCCGAAGAACGCGAAGGCCAAAGCCGTGCCAGCGGTACCTGCGCAGGTCGACCTCGCTGTCAGCTCAGGGAGCCAGGAGGCTTCCCCAGTTCCGATCACGCCCCCACCGTCTAAGCGCATGAAGACACATGCGGAAATGGTGGCCACTCAGCCGGACACCGCGGAAGTGCCCACGCAGGAGAGATCAGTGTTTTTGCGTGGCACGTTTTCCATCTTGTGGCAGGAGATGGAGCTCAACGAGACGCAGCTGCCTTCGCCCGAGTTCAACAAGGCCACCAGCAAGGAGCTCCTCCCTCAGCTCGACATACAAAAACGGCTCATAACCTGTACGTGTCTGTGCGTGTGTCAGGTCTTTGCCGTCCCTGCGCAGGGCGCAAAGCGTCTTGGCCTTCCAGGAAGCAGCCTGTCCAGTGCGACCTGGCTTGATTAAAGCTGTTCCTGCCAAATTTGCAATTGCCTTGCTTAACACTGCTGCTTAGCCCGGATCCTCCTGCTCCCTCGGCGCCATCGGATGCAGCCCCTCCACTTGCCATCGAAGACGACCGCAGCGCTGGGCTTGAGAGCGACGAAGAGTCGACGACGGAGGAAGACCCTGTCTTGGAGGGTGACAAGCAGGTGGCCCTGGACGAAGCAGAAACCCCCTGCGTGCAGCCCCCGGCCTCCGCTCGCAACGATGCGCAAGTCATCAACTCGAGGACGCACAAGCTGGCGTACCAGCGCCTCGGACGCCTTGTGAACAACCCCGCACGCATCAAGAACTTCCCGGATCTCAAGAAGCTTTTCCTGGACCCCGCTCACAGCAACGAGGTGCTTCGCGAGTGGGTTCACACTGGCGAGGATGCCGCGGCCGTGCAGGCCACGTGCGAGATGATCGTGAGCTCCGAGGTGCAGAATAAGCGCATCATGGAGCCCCTCACTGTCAAGGAGATGCGCGCCAAGGGGTTCTCGGAGCAACTTGCCTGCACGCTGCAAAATCCCTTTTCTTTTCTTTTGATGCGGCCCAGCGCATGTTTTGCGTTTTGAGGGCGAAAATCAGCGCCACAGTGGCGGCGGGCGGGGGAATGGCCGATGAGCAGGTTCCCAACAGCGCCGAAGATGTCAGATACTGGGTCCGGACTTCGTGGACCAAAGCTTGGACCGACACGGCCGCAACGCGGGCCAAGATCACCGGAAATGTCGCTGCCGCTGACGCCTTGGGCGCCTATGAAGCTGTCCAGGATCGGGCCAGTTCTACGCGGTCCCTTGCAAGCGCAGCTGCTCCAAGCACTGCGTCTTTACTCCAGCATGTGGCAAGCACAGCCTCTTCGCCAGGCAATCGCAAGTGCATACGTGTACAAGCATTATATATTTGCCTGACCTTTTGCAGGCCAGACTCCGCCGCAAGCCGAGGGCAAGGCGCCCAAGCGCGCGGCGAAGCCCAAAGCAGGACCCAAGGCAGCGGGCCAGGAAGGCCTTTTTGGCGTGAAACTTGAGGGCAAAAGCGTGGCGCAGAAAGTGGAAGCCGTTCGCCAAGACCTCAGCTTAAACCGAGGTTTCCAGCTTGAGCCTGACTTTTAATTACCTACTTTTTTTTGGCAGGTGCAAAAATACGAGTTTGCACGTGTCAAAAAAAAGGCTTAACCACTTATATTACGCATAGTTCGCCGGGGAATGGGCGCGTTCAGGGAACACCGCCCCTTTAACATCGGTGCGCCCATTCGCCGCGAGCAATGCCAGTTGAGATCATTATGAGTGATTAATTATACACGATCCATGTGGTGCTGTTTTGGCTATAATTGGTCCCCGCAACGTTTGGATTGATAAGCCAAAACAGCACCAAATGAATCGGCTTAAGCTACGCGAGCTGGCGCCAACCTAAGCTTTTGGTCCTAGGCGCAGAGCTTCGCAAGGAGACTTCCAATCTTCGCGGGCTGGAGATGGACCTCCCGGAAAATGCAGTGGACGTCCACGACAAGCTGAGCGACGCCCTGAGCAGCTGCAAGAAGATCTTCTGCAGGCGAGGCAATACGCGCGTTGCATTGATTCGCAGCGTCTTCGTGTATATAGGCGCACGTGCGAGCAACATCTGTAGCAGCGACCTGTGCGCTAGTGCGTGGGCGCGCGTGCGCGCGCGCGTGTTCGTACGCGTGTGCGCGCTTGCGAGTGCGTGCGTGTACTCGCGCGCATGTGAATTCAGTGCGCCCGCGCGCGCGTGCGTTTGTGCGCCACGCTCGCTACACGTGCATGTGTGTGTGTGTGTGTGTGTTTGCGTGCTGCGCACCGCGTGCGCAGGCTTACGCGCGTGCGCACGCATTCCTCTCAGGAGCCAAGATGTTGTGACCGAGCAGCAGTGGCTGGATTTTTTTGAGCAGGCGCAGGACGAGGCGATTTGCATTGTGCTTTCGCGTCGCATATGTCTGCGCCCGAGGTGGCGATTGTGCGCATGGCAAAAGCGCAAATCCGCGCTGTGGTTAGCGAGGTGAAGAAGCCACGTCCTAAGACAACTGTTGATATTATATGCGCCTGTTGATATTATATGTATATATAATGCACGTGTCGACACGACTAGCTTTCAATCCTGCAGGGGCTACATGCAGAAGGCTAAGCGAGACAGGGCGAAGGCAGAGTGAGTTTTTCGCTTAGGATCCAAGCTAGAGGTGTGCTTGCATGCAGGATATACTAGGTAGACCACTGCCGTAGGTAGCTGTTTTTAGACCCAGGTGCCAAGGCTTTAAATTCCACGCGTAGCCTTGAAACTGTGAAACTGGCTTGGCAGTGGCGTGGTTTTGTGGCAACTGCCCATACCGGGCGCTGCTAGACAAACACTGAGTGAGGGCATGCGGGCAAAATCTGACTATCATCATGCTTGCGTGTTTTGCTGGACACGTGCTGGGCATGCGCATGCTTTCAATCGAATGTCTAAAACGATTTATCCAGACCTTGGAAAAGCTTGCGTGGTAGTTTTGGCTGCGAGGGTGGAAGGGGGAAGGCGAACACGCGCGCGCGCATCTGCTGGACGTACGGCATGGGCCGCGATATTTTAAACCAATTAGCGAAAATGGAGCACGTGCGTCTCTAATGCGCGGGCTTTGGCATGCCATGGAAGCCTTGGATGGGCAAGCCAGCTTCACGGCCAGGAGGCTAGGGGGTGCTTTATCCTACACTCTTTTTTCCGATTTTGGCAGGTTTGTCGCAAGATCAACGCAGAGCTTTGGATGCTAAGTGTGGGCCTTAGCGCTTTGTGACGCGCGCGCCTGTGTGCCATTATGCAACATGCATTACGTTACACGCAAAGTTCTTTTTCTAGGCTCGCTGCTCAAATTGGCGAAGGGAAGGCCACTGTGCGGCATGCTGTTGCGCTGGGCGAAGTGTATGCTTCGTCCACTTGGAGGCTTCGAACAATTGCTTGTCGCTTGCATGTTTTTGCATGGTAGATCTCTGCCAGGAAAGGTGCTCAAAATGAAGCTCGCGCTCACAAAAGGTTGCGGGAAGAAAACATGAAGTTGGACTGCGATATCACGTGGGTTGAATTGCCCATGAGGGATAAAGGCGCCACCGTCTTCAAAAGCTGGCCATTTTTGATGCCTGATGATTTCGTTGGAGCCTTAATTCAGCTTACGTGTGCGTTTATTTGCTTCGCGCCTCTCAGGTTGCAGCCATGTGTGCTGGCGGGTACCGCCCCCTTCTGGGAGGAGCCAATTGTGAGGAGTATTGGCGTGTTCTGGAATCGTGCTATTCTTTGATGCGGCCACCCAACGCAAATCCTCATATTTTTGGGCTCGTCTTGTACGGTGACGAAGTCGAAATTTTTGGTGAGTCCTGGATGTGCTTGTCATGGTTGAGCGACAACTGCCCCCACTTGTCGGACTCACGCGCTAGCAGATACTTACTCACATTGTTTCCCAAAAGCTTGTACCTCCTTACCGCAGACAAGTTGAACCTCACCCTTCAGCGAAGTTTGGGCTTCATCGTGGACCGCGTCAATGCCATGTACGAAGCTGGTATTTGCGTTCCAGTTGGGCTGAAAGGAGATTGGAAATTTGTAAAGCAAAGCTTGAACTTGAAGAACGCCTATGGCTCATACCTTCAATGTCACATGTGTGGCGCGACTGTGCCGTCAGGGCACGCTCCATACACTGACATGTCACCTGACGCTTTGTGGCGAATGTCCCCCTCTATCAATCCTTGGCGGCTCAATCCTGAGGTCACTCGGCTGTACAATTTCTCCCTGCACATGGTTTTGATGGATTTGATGCACGTTTGGCACCTTGGGCTAGCCCAAGATCTTATCGCTGGAGTTCTAGTTTGCGTGGTTCACGCGCGTGGCATCGTGCCAGGCAACAACATGGAAGATCGCTTTGACTACCTGAAGCAGAACGCGCAAATTTTTGCGCAGGGATGTGGCCAAAGCCTACCTCGTTCGTGGAAGCTTGATAAGGACCGGTTGAATATGCAGGGTGGCAAGTTTGCGCGTTTTAAGGGCAAGGCGTGGGAGGCTTCGCTTCTGGTTCCCTGGCTGGAGGATCTTTTGGCGCCTTTGAATGTGACTCGCGAACTCAAAACGTTAGTTTGGCTTGCGAACCGGGTGCTTGGGCTTTTGATGAGCTCGCGCGACTCCTATCACCTAGCTGAGCGTGAGGCGCTGCAGGTATGCGCTTTGGGGACTGCGTGGTGCAAATTGTATGTGCAGCTGAATCTTCGCCAAGGAGAACATCCATATCTTGTGTTCAATTGTCGCCCCAAGCTTCATCAGTTTGTTCACCTTTTGCTGGTTTGCCAGTCTTCGCGGTGCAATATCGCCCGACATGCCACTTTCATGGATGAGGACTTCAATAAGAAAGTCATGGGAATCACAAAGGCTTGTCACCGCCTTACGGCGCCTGTCAACACCTTGGAACGCTTTCTGACCAGCGCCCGTGCCAAGTTTGACGCTCTTGCCCTGGCCTTAGCGCGGTACCAATATGAATTTTCAAAAGCGCAGCTCTTAGGCCAGACAATGACAAGGAAGGTGAGATACGCACGTTGCTGCTGTCTTACGAAGGCGGACGCGTGCAGGTTTCTCGCTTGAGCTGCGCGGAAACTCATGCTGCTGCTTCAGGTTAGTAAATTTAATATATTTACGACGCACGTTGCGCTGTCCAGCTGGCTCGCGCGGAGGTGCCAACCTGCTCTTCGAGATCTCGTTCAAAAGGCGGGCTCGTGTTTTCAGTCCGCTTTGTCCATGCTCAGCCGTTGGCCAGGCCAATTGACTGAGAGCTACGCACTTGTGGTGCTCAGCGCAAAAAAAGAGCGTAGGCTGCACAGTCGTTCGATCTTAAATTACTACATGAAAAACTTGAAATTGCCAGAGTTCAAGTTTGTCATGATTTGCTTTAAGTGAGGGGTGGGGGGGATAATTCAAATAGGGGGGATAATTAGAATAGGGGGTGTTTAACATCAATATGAACGTATTGTACTTAAAAACGGGCTTTTTGTGACTCCAGGTTTTCCATTGGCATGGGGCAATGCCGGAAAAAAAGAGAGCAGCTGCGCGTTCACGGCCTTTTGCTTCTTGCTTATCGGCTGCTAAGGTGGCCAACGATTGTAACCAGTAGGCTGCCAAGTTCCCCTGCTGCATGTTTCTGCCCAAGCGGATCCCGCCCCTTCCCTCTTGACTTTCTTCTTTGGGGTCCTTTTGGCCATGCAGCAACGCAAGTCAAGTTCAAGCCACCTCGGAGTAAGAGCGCATCCCAAAATTCTTCCCCCCCCCCTCCCTCCCCAAGATTTTCGGCAAAAAAACACTTCCGAAAAACGGATTGTTTTGACAAAGAACGCGCACGCGAAAAAACAAGGTTTTCGGTCCAAAAAAAGCACCAAACAAAAAGGCATAAAAAGCATGTCCTTAATGACCGGCCAGAAGCTGTACCGACTCGCACGGCAGCGCGACCTTGACGTGACGCAGGCCATGGCCTTTGAGGCGCTGAAGGCCGACGTGGGCCGGCAGGTGCAGGCGCCACGGCCCCGCGCGCTGGGCAAGTCGGCCACCGAGGGGCCGAACGACCGGCTGCAGGCCGACCTCATCGACTTCAGCCAGAACACCCGGGGGAAGACGAAGTATGGCCTGGTGGTGATGGACGTCTTCACCCGGGAGGCCGCCGTGGAACCTCTGCAGAACAAGAACGCCGAGACGGTCGGCCGGCCACCAAGCGCGCCGCGCAGGAGCTGACGGGGGACGACAAGAACTTTGTGGTCA